CTATTCAATATTGGACTCATTTCGAAGGTATTAACGAGATGATTATAATGGTGTAACTTGTTAAAATAAAAATGTATTTTTTAAACATGTTTTAATTGATATACGATTATGTATGTTAATTTGATAAAGGTTTAAAATGAAACATTTAAAAGTAAATGACGTAAAATAAATAAATTAATTATAGAGGTATAAAATGTAAATTTAAAATTATAATTTTAAAAAAAATCGGGTTGTGAGAGGGTGAGTGTATGGGAGGGGATGAGTATATGTGAGGAGAGGAGAGGGTGAAAAAGTGAGTATAAAAGGTATTTTGGTCATTTAATATTTTTAAAACTTTAAGACTTTTGTTAAATTTGCTTAATAAGATAGTATATATATATATATATATATATGTATATATATATATATATACCCTTTGAAAATGTGCATCAACTGAAGGTGAGCATTAGCAACACAAACAAATACACAAAGGGTGTATCACTGCAGTTATCACTCTAAAAAAACATATAGATCATTCTATTTGATTGTTCATTTGAAGTGAACGTTCATATTCATACGTCTTTTAACCTTTCAAGTTCTTTTAATATGAGGAATCTTAATTTCAAAGTAACTTTGCTCAAAGTAATTGGTTTATCATAATCTTTCCCAGTCGTAGGTATACAAAGGGTTGGCTTTTAACATCGAAAAGATTTGTGGAAGGTTCTCCTCCAAATACAACCAAGATAAATTTAGAAATTAAATATCTATATTAGAAGATCATCATGTTATAAGATCTCCTCTAACAAAACCACAAAAGCTTCAAAATTGTTTACATTCACGCCTCATACGGTCCCGACGCATTGCACGGGTTCACAACTAGTATATATATATAGGGGCCTATTGAAGGGAGAACTGAGTTGTTTGTGGTAACTGTGAAAACCAATATTAACCACAAATCAATAGATAAATTAGGTAATTTTAAATTAAAATCTTAATGCAAGGATATTTTTGGTATTTTAAAACTCTCCTCTCTCCGGCCACCGTCCTCCGGTGATACCACTATGATACCTAAAAATATTGACTCTGTTAAACAAAAGATACATTGTGATACCTAATTATATATAAGATGCATAGTAATACCACT